TGACGCGGGGTTTGCGGCGGTAGCGCAGGCGCTGGGGAGGAGGCGGGTGGGAGGCTGCGGGGCGCGGGGCCCCGCACAGGCAGGGCTCTGTGCCCCCCCGCGAATGTGCGCGGGCGTCTTGGCTGCTGAGGGAACTCTGAGTGCCTGTGGCTGAGCGCGGGAAGGCCGAGCGGGGACATCCAGAGGGTCAGCACCGTGTCTGAGGGAGTCGATAGAATTAATTCACAGAGTGATGGAATGGCAGGGACCCCGGGGGTCATCTGGTCCAGCCCTTCTAGGTAGGAGTGCAGGTTAGCTGAGACGGCCCAGCACCTTGCCAAGCGGAGTTCCAGTGCTGGGGAATCCACCGCTCCCTCGGGGAGGTGATTCCAATGCTTGACTGTTCTCACAATGGAAAACTTTATTCCGGTGTCTGATCCAGATCTCCCCAGCAGCAACTTGCACCCATTACTCCTTGTCTTTTCCACGTGGCTCCCTGTAAAAAGTGAGTCTTCATCTTGGTAGCCACCCTTTAAGTGCCAGGACACGGCGATGTCTTCCCTAAGCCTTCTTCTCTCCAGACTGAACACTCTGTGCCTTAGAAAGTCTTTCCACTTCATGCACATTACGACGCCAAGACCAAGCAGCAGTAATGCACCACATGCTCCATTTTCCCATCAGTTGTTACCGTTTATGCCAATGTAAGTTGTAGAAACTAGTCTGCATTGTCATCAAGGCATAGCATGCGTCTACCTGAATGCCTGGCATCTGCCTCAGAAGAAGATCAGAGGTGTTTCTGGGGGCTGGTTCCGTGCTGCTGGGCTGTTAGCAGGGCCCAGGCCACCGGCTCTGGGGCCAGAGAGCAACCCCCAAGCAGCTGAGTGCACTATGCAGCCAAAGCCTAAGAACTAAATTCACCCTGCAAGATCACAGTTCCCATGAAAAAACGTAGAGATCGGCACATCAACGACAGCTGATGTGAGAGCAAACTGCTCCCCTAGAAGACACGGTCACAGGAAAGGGCAAATCTGGAACCTTCTGTTCCTGTGAAAGCGAGGAACAGAGAATTCCCCGTGCAGCAGCATGGATACAGCATGGTTTCCCACAGGAAAGGAGTTACCTTGGCTAAGCCATAGTTGCTAGGGCATCTAATGAGGAGGAAAGACTTTGAGCTCCCACTTCACCACTTTCTCGAAACCACGTGAATACAGGTCTCTCTTTTTCTTGGATATTCCTTTCGCCAAAACGTTTTAGAAATTGTACATCTCTGAGAGCCAGCTGATAGCAACATGGCTGAAGCTTCCTATTTAGAAGTGGCCCCACGGTGTGACTATATATGTGAGGTATTCCAGAAAAAGAAGGTGAAAAGGAGTTATGTTAAAGCTGCTAGCTAATGCCATTTCCATATGCCTTACCACTCTGCATGTGTGCAGTTACATATAAAATACAGAAAATAGAAAAAGCTCAAGGAAACACTTCAAAATTCTACATTTACTTAAACCTAAAGTAAAACCCAACGCTTTGTTTCACACACACAAAAACATTTTTCAGAGGAGGAACAAGTATAACGTATGTTAGTGAACAGGATGCTTAGAGTGGAAGCCCCTTTCATGCCATAATATATTTTTATTTTTACTTTCCCTTTGCTCTGAATCTTTAGTGGTTCTTACATTTCTTACATGCAGAATGCTGTCTGATGAACTGTGAGTGTTTATTTTACCAGGCTTGAAAATATGCCAAGAAGGGTATCCCTTCTTTGTAACCACCTTCTTTTCCCTTCCAGGCACCTGTAAGATTTACCTAAATTAAATCTTCAAGGTCTGCACTACAAGTAATAATCAAAACAGAATAAAATACTAGATGCTGTGCTGTTTCTCCATTATTGTCTGAATTCTGCCTTGCCTATATTTTTATCACCGTGGGGTGCCAAACCTGAAGTCTTACTACATCAGAATAAACATCAGCATTTAAATTTGAGCTGTTTCACTGCAGATTGTCTTATCAGACAAGAAGTGGCTGAGAAATTAAGCCCATGGGAGATACAGCTGGGGAACTTCTGAGTGGAACATGATGCAGAAAGATAAAAAACAACAACCATCCCAGAAAGGTGGATATGGAGTTGAGGGAGACAAAAGGAGAAAGGAGCAGCATTTTGTAATTTTCAAATGTCAAGAGCCACAGCATTCACACCCTAGTGTTTTATTCATTACTGTCATGCTAGGACCCTAAATTTCTGCTTTCCAGCTCTACTCTTCCAATATACAACCTTACCTCACCAAAGACCACATCCCATTCTGTTTTCCCTGTTTTCCTTTAAGCTTATCCTAACCCTTTCCCACCTTCTTCCCACGCCAGCCATGCTCACAGGCCACCAGCCTTCCAGCTGCAGCCACGTCTAGGATCCCAAAGCCCTTTCAGCCTAGGCTGACTGCACCAGCCTCAGCACTCGGAGCATCCCGCACCTGCCCATCTCTCATATCCCCTGCAGTTCTGTTTGGAAGATACTCTGTATTCCCTGACGTATCCATGTCCCCTCCAACCTTACCACAGGAGCTTGGTTGAAAGGTTGGAATGGCTTGGTTGTTTTTTTTTTAAGAGAGGTCAGCCTGCAGCTGCTGTCTTTATTTCTCCTATATGAAATATTCTCCTTCAACCAGCTTAATCTGTTTTAGAAACGAAAGACTAAGGAATTACCTGGAACATTAAAACCAGTCCAGCACAATAGCAGACAGCCCTGAAATAAGTGGCCCATCTGGACGTGTTCTCTTCACAGACCACTACTCTCTATAGGCCATTAAATACTCCTCTACTCTGAGTATCAAATGTAGGGCTTACTACACACTCTTCTTCCATATCCAGAGTCTCTCTGTACTATTACTGAGCCTGTGGGAAGCAGGTCAGAAATGAGAAACACATATTATTGTTGACTCTTATCTGAACTTTATAACAGCACCTTTGCTGATGATTTGGGTTCCCAGCACCTGACATTAGCTGACCAAGTTGGGGCGGATTTCACAACTCAGATACTTACTGGTAACAACCTATTGGCTTTCATCAGGATCTATAGTGCTACACCAATTTAGTAATACAAGAGGTCTGAGGTTCCTTCCTTACATCCCTAGTTTAAAAAATCAGAGCCTTAATTAGCTGCACACTCTTTTAGACAAATGAATACTTGTTCTGATATAAAAGTTTTCCCCTGTGATCAACATAATCCAGCAATTCTGTGCAAGGAACAGTATGTGGATGATCATCCCAGCAGTTGATTGTAATGGAAAAGGATCATGGACCAAACTACAGTATAAGCTACAGGCAATTAGTTATAAGTCTTGGAAATCACTTATAGTTTTGGAAACATGTTATGCCATTGCCATAAATCCACTGCTGAGCTGAGCCACCACATTAGACTATGAGAGCCTAGGCCAAGTATATGTCTTTGAAAAGGTTCATGTTGATGGTGGGTTTGGATCACACAAAATACCTCTCTTCTCATGAAAACTCTCAGAGTCCTGTCCTGTCCTGTCCTACCACTTGCACATTACATTTACAGGTAATTCTGCACAGTTTATAAGGAGGAGGGCTTAGCTGACACTGCATTATTTTCTTTCCTTGCCCAAGTCCACTGGAGTATGTCTGCATTAGTGTAAGATATCCGAAAAAATTTTTTTACTGTGAGAGTGACAGAGCACTGGAACAGACTGCCCAGGGAGGTTGTGGAGTCTCCCTCACTGGAGACATTCAAAACCCACCTGGATGAGTTCCTGTGTGATGTACTCTAGGTGACCCTGCTCTGGCAGGGGGGTTGGACTAGATGATCTCTTGAGGTCCCTTCCAGCCCCTAAGATTCTATGATTCTATGATTCTATGATCTCTAGTGGCACCAGCTACATACCACAGCCTTTTCTTTCCTCTCCCACTGTGTGCCAGAAAAGTAGATGAGAGATTTCTGCAAAGGAGTCATGCAGAAAATTTCCCACCACATCCTATCCCACAATTAACTGGGAGAACAAAATGAAAAGTGCAGATGTGCTTCACACAATAAAAACCTATCAGATAGTTAAGTATTCTCACATCCTCTCAGATTTCCTCAGTGCTGTTGTTCAAAAAACCAGCAGTGCACATGGTTTTTACATGAATGTCACTCCAAGACAGCACTTGCAGTGAGGAGCATACATGGGACAAGGGGACCAGGTGCCGCAGTAAAGGTTCATACCCAAGTACAGACATCCATGTATCTGCCAGGCTTAGGTAAAGCTGGACAAGATGGGTGGAAGTATTAGGAAGGGTTGGTTACTGAGAAATTTCTCCTTTCTGCCAGGGGATACGGAAAAAGAGAGTTACAAGGGTGAGAAAGGGAAAGAATAATGTCACCTTGTTTTTGTCAGTTTGCCCTAAAGTCCTTGAACTCCCTTGCTAAGAGGGGTAGAAGCAGAAGCATTCAAAAGAAAAAATAACCAATATGCAGCCAGGAAAGCTGGTCACAACATTTCTACAAGGTGGCTGTGCTCTTATCTCCTGATCCTCTCATACTTGTTTCATTCACACACCCTCTACATTGTTTCTAAACTTTCTTCTGGCTCTTTCGTGTCACAATGCAAACATGTCTTAATCTTTACCATTTTAAAATGAGATTCAGCTTGACCCTGCAGCTATTCCCTTCTCTCTCTCCTTCCTTTAATTTCTGAGCTTACTACCTGTTTACAGGGAGTCTGGAGTTTGTGCTCTCCCATTTCAGTGTTAACTTCAACACTTGCATCCCAGTCTAATTCTTGTATTCCAATCTGACTAGCAGTATGTCTACTGTTATTATAGTATGTCAGCTGCCACTGCCCACATGCTCCCTGTTGAGTAGCTAGCTCCATGTTTCTATCACCAAACTCTATTGTGAAATATGAACAAACTCCGTATCTTGCAAATTCTACCTGCAGATTTTCCCCAAAACAGGTCAATTCCTGTCTACCCACACACTTTGAATTGTTGCTTGGGTTGTCATCATACCACATCCACATCCCCTTCCTTGGCTTAACAAAAGCAATCTTACCCTTCTTAGATCTTGCCTTTGTAAAGATCTATTTCTTAGCCTCTGTTTTGACCTTGCCTCCTTTCTGTCCCTCTGCTGGCTCCCTCCTTTGTGCTACATCAAACATGTGCTGTGTATTTTCCCTTTCCCATTAGTCTATCCTGCCCCATCCTCTTTACTAATATCAAGACACTTCCACGCTGGCTTACTCATGCTGCCAGTCCTGATTGTCCCTGTATTAGACTTTCAAGTAGTATTTCTTTCTTTTTCTCATGCTAACCCCCACCTCATTTTCCACTTTTATATGTCAAATATCCCTTTGTTGTTACACTGACACAAATTTTAGGCAGCAGATGGTCTATGACCTGTGGTCTGTAGCCTTCTATGTAGACTGATAAGCTGGTCTGTGTGTATCTTGTCATCTATTTGGGCTGCATATTTCCCCCTGTGACAATCAGTGCAGTACACTCAGTGAGAATAAGGATGATAAATAAATAAACAAACATATAAACAAAAACAGTCAACCCACAGGGAAGGAAAACCAAAGTAGCCTAAGTTTTTCAACTGAACTTTTGTGAGGAAGAGAATAAAAGACAAATGTAAAGG